ATGGTTGGTTAGTCAACCATATAAAAGGTCAGTCAATGTTACAATTGTTAGAAAATCAAATGAATCGACAAGATGATAAAGGTTGGTAATAAAAAAATGCATGTTCAGTACGAGACCAATTTTTCGTGACAAAATCTTGTTGACTGGGTATTTTAATTTTAAGTGGTATACGATGCACTTTAACAATGAAAACATCGCTTTAATCTCAGGAATATTCATATTGAATAATCGGGAATCATAATCGAAAAGTGGAAGGGTATTTGATGAATTCATCTGAATTGATTTGATTCGAAAGCAAATTTGGTTTTGGGGATTGAAGATCTTCCAAAAGACCGTGAATTGTATGTCTCGTATTCTGACGTAATGAAGAATAAAAACTTATGGAAAGAGTGGGCATAGGCAAACGATTTCTGCTTATTATCTTAATGAAATATTTCAAAGGGCCCCTTTGTATTACCACGGCTTTTTGGAGACTTCACACATTAATAATTTTGATCCAAAATATTTTTAATTAGGTCACTTAAGTTTAATATTATTATTTGTTACATCATTAAATTAAAATATTATCGAGTGTCCACACTTAATCATTCCACAATTTCAATTAAGTTCATTAGTCACATATTTGAACAATAATTTGGCATCTTAATTTGGCTAAACAATATAATGACTCACTGTATCAGTTACACATATTTAATCTCAAATAGATCTAACAATCACTCCACTAGATCAAATACTTGTCCTGACAATACAACATACATTATAAGCTCGAAATATGGCCATTATTACACAGTTTGAACAATCTGGTCCATTAATCGAAAAAATATAAGACTAAGGTCGTTTTCGTCATATAAATATAGCTAAACTGGTCGTTTTCGTCATACTAGTAAAGTGCACGTGCGATGCACGTGGTGTCGAATGATATTCGTGGAGTAAGTTTACAAAATAAATTAATTAATTTATTAAACATATCATTGCAGAAATGAAGTAAAATATAAAAAAAATGAATTCATATGTGATTTTTTTTTTTTAATTTAGAATTAACGTAATGATGTCCTCATATAAAAAGAGTGAAATATCGTTTTACAACCCCCAACAAAAATATATATAAAAAACAAATCTCTAATAAAAAAAACACAAAGATTTTCTTTCATTTTGGTTTTGACGTTCTCATAAGAACATTCATAGTCGTTGGAGTCCAATACATCAATAATATTGCAAAATTCTCTTAATTAATTTGGCAAAACGCCAATTTTATTCAAACACTTAAGAAACTTTCTGACCCAACATATAGTCAAATTTCATGATCGCATGATCTTTATAACAAGGTACTTTTACTAACAAAGGATAAATATCTCTATGAAATAACTAACGGTGTCACTAAAATTGCTGATATTTTTTATCACTGTATAAACTACTAATTCCTCTTAATTAATTTTACATTCCTCTGTCTCTATATATATTGGTGTCTACCCTATTGATGCATCGCCCCACGAGGTGAGAATGAATTTTATCTTCAAATAAAAGTTAACTTTCCAAAATCTGGGTTACATGTACTTCTCCCGAGGTGCTAAATTATTTTTTGAAATCACCATACATTACCTGAAAGTACTTCTAAAGTAATTGCACATATGTTCAAGCGCAATACACCAATGAGATTATAAATATTTCTATAAGAAATGACAACTTTGTTATAACATTCAAAACTGTTTTGATACTCATACATTTCATTTTCAGTGTTATTTATTTAGAATATAGACGAACAATATAATCTATTTTTTGCAATGATAAAACAAAACAAACAAAACAATGAGAAAATATTGAGAAGCATATCATTTGTTAAAATATTTGACAGCAAAAGAATTAGATTTCCATTATAGGACGATACTTTTAGTCATCTGTAAAATTTATTATTATGGAGTCATGATTAAAATATACATCATATATACAAATTTTTGGATTTTTTAATTATTTAAAATTGAAAATAAATAATATATGATCATTATTTATGAGAACCAATTTCTTACAGAGTCCATATATTTAAACGCTAGCAACAAAAAAAGTAGTAATTTTAAAAGACTTTTTATTTGTAAATATTGGTATTCATATTTTTCTAAGAAAATTAGCACGTTTTCTTTTTCTAATTGCATTACTATTATGTTATTTGTTTTGTATTCTATAGAAAAATAATATTTTATTTGCTAAATAATTAAAGCACACTTATACGTATTACGGTATTTTTCGTATGTGTTTTATATAATGAT